GACTGGCCCATGTTCCTCCCCAACCTCCTCACTGTCCGAATCTGCTGCCAGTTCCACTGGCCGCTGGCAGGCGACAACAGAGAAACCCTATACCGTTTCAGACAAATAGTTGTCCAATCGTTTCTTTAAAACTTCCAGTGTTGGAGCATTCACAACTTCTGCAGGCAAGTCTTTCCACTGATTAATTGTTCCAACTGTCAGGAAATTTTTCCTTCGTTCAAGGTTGGAGAAATTTCCAGACAGTTAGAACAATTAATCAGTAGAACATAACTGCATTTCTAGGTGAACAGGGTACTCTCCTTCTCCTCCTCCTCTTGGGTTAAAAAACTTCCGGTCTTTCAATGGTAGGGCAGGTGCTCCACCTTTTGGCCCAAAGATTGGAATCGCTCTGCGGGCAGCCTCACCTGGCGAAGGTAGAGCTTCAGCACGTTGCTGATGTCATGTGGTGAGGCCTGAGACAGCTCAACCAGCTCTTTCCCATTCTCAAAAGCCTGACAGAGCTTCTCCACGCGGGATTTCACTCCATTAACACGGTAGATGCCCTAAGGAAGACAGAAAGGAGTATCGATGGGACAAAATGTTGCTATCATCTGGATTATTATTATTATTATTTTTGGACCAGTCCCTCTTCTGGATGTTCTTCTTTCAGGGATGCCCAGGTCAAACATGTACAGGATACCAGGTATAAGTATAAACATGGACATGAACAAAGGCAATGAGTACAAATAAATGGGGACAGTAGGACAGGGACGTTAGGCACGCTGGTGCGCTTATGCACGCCCCCTGTACGGACCTCTTAGGAATGGGGTAAGGACCACAGTAGGCAGTTCGTAAGGTTGAAGTGTGTGGGGGTTAACAATAGAGTCACGTAGAGCAGTGGTCTCCAACCTTGGCAACTTTAAGACCTGTGGACTTCAACTCCCAGAGTTCCTCAGCCAGTTTTGAAGTCCACACATCTTAAAATGGCCAAGGCACTGACTTAACAGATTTGCTACCACTTCGCTCAGGCATAGTATTAGTGGTATCATTTTTTTTTNCCCCCCCAGTTGCCAAGTGCCTGAATGACACGAGTGTGAGGACGTTGCTCAGGTTGTAAATGTGAGGACTGGTCATAATAAAGTTATTTTTTCAGTGACACTGTTAACTTTGAGCGCTAAATGAGATGATGGATAAGCAAGATCTCACACAAAGCCCCTTCAGCTGGCTCTACTGGCACTTCATACAGCTGTGCAATAAGCATATGTCGCGCGCGCGCACACAGACACACACACACACCCTGATAGGATCAATCCACACCAACAACCCAACGCTGGTCCTCAGACCTCAGTAGGATTTGCACAAGTGGATTTCAGCCTTCAAGTAATCCGTCATCCAGCCAAGCTCATCCAGCATTTTGTCTGTACCCTGATTCTTAAAAATACCGTAGCATCCTGAAGTGGTTTTACTTAGAAACAAATATAATCTGCTAATGTTTAAACAAACATATCGGAATACCTAGGATCACAATGGGTGTATTGTTTCCTGAACGGGACGGGACCTCAAGGATGGGAGGGAGTGCAAAGGGACTCTCTCTGTGGCTCTTCGTTTGAAAGAGCATTCCTCAAGCTACTGCCCCCCCCTACCCCCACCCCCTTGTTTGGTTAGGACTATGCAGGAGGAAAGATGGGAGCGAGATCCAAAATTTCAGAAGGGCATTAGGTTAGAGAAAAGTGTCTTAAAGTTTAGATGTTGAGAGTCCTTCCAATGTCTCTCTGGGCCTTAATGCCTCTCCTTATATGGTCTCCTCCCTGCCTTTTCACACGGAGTCCCCAGATGTCGTTTTGGTGTTGGAAAGAATTAAAAGCAGGCTGTTATGAATGAGGAGCCTGGTGAACCAGAAGGCCTCCAGAGGATGATCTTGAGAAGACAGTTGAAGACCATCCATCCCTTCACTGTCAGTCTCTGCAAAGGATTCACCGCTTCCCTCAACTGACATAGTTTTTCATGCCAGGAAATCAAACACATGTTCTTAGTTGATCAGTAAGTGTGAGAAAAGTGAGTTGTTAGACTGGTTGGTGTTGAGGTCCACCAGAAGGCTTTCAACTTTCCCGTCGCTGTTCTCCTCATCACCTCCGCTCCTGAAGACAGCATCTCCTTCGGCCTCCCAGCAACCTTCTGCTGGGCCTAGGGGATGTAGGGGTGAAGTATCCTCAGGGTCCGATTGTTCCACGCTGGGTATCTCCCTCAGGACACCTTCCTCACTGGCGTCCTCACCGAAGGGGCTCTCCTCCTCCCCGCTGGTCTCACTGCCTCCTGGCCCTGAGTTGGCCTGTGGGATTCCTTCAATGGCTGCCTCTGTGCCATCTTCTGGATCTGGATCTGGATCCGAATCCGAATCGATAAAGGGAGTGTCGGGTTCTAGAAGGAGAAGAAAACAACTCAATTGAACCAAGAGTGGGACGTCCAAGGGTTCCCTGTGACACAAATATGGCACCTCCTTGGCTTGTGATGCCAAAATTTCACCAGCTGAAGGAGAGGAGGCCCCAGTGGCATCCACCTTAGAAATATTCCAATTTAGAAGAATTTCCAGCTTAGAGTCCTTTTGGGCAGTGGTGGGACTTGAATAACTTAACGAACGGTTCTCTGGCTGGGTAGGTGTGGCTGGTTGGTCATGTGACTGGGTGGGTGACGTCACTCATCACACCCAACCCCGCCTCCCGGCCACTTGCCTCAAAGGCAGATGTAGGATTGTGACTGGATTGGACCTGTAATAGATATGTGGACTGGGGGAAAGAACTTTGACTTTTAATTTTGGTGGGGAACACCACGGGACCTTCGGAGTCGGGTTTTCACCAGATATGCCCATATGGCATGCCTAATAAATCTGTGTAAATAAATAAATAAATAAATAAATAAACAAACAAACAAACAAAACAAAACAAACAAATATAGGGACGCGGTGGCTCAGTGGCTAAAACGCTGAGCTTGTCTATCAGAAAGGTCGGCAGTTCGATGGTTCGAATCCCTAGTGCCGGGTAACGGAGTGAGCTCCCGTTACTTGTCCCAGCTTCTGCCAACCTAGCAGTTCGAGAGCATGTAAAAAATACAAGTAGGAAAATAGGGACCACCTTTGGTGGGAAGGTAACAGCGTTCTGTGCACCTTCGGCGTTTTAGTCATGCCGGCCACATGACCACGGAGATGTCTTCAGACAGCGCTGGCTCTTCGGCTTTGAAACGGAGATGAGCACCGCCCCCTAGAGTGGGGAATGACTAGCACATATGCGCAAGGGGAACCTTTACCTTTAATAAATCTGTACTTTGAGGAACACCTAGGCCTCAGAGGTTTGATCGCATTGGGTCTGTTACTTTGAACTCTGACAACGGCATTCTAGCCCCTGCACCATCACAGCTCATCCTGTAAGAACATCACCCTTACAAGAATAACATGTCAAACATTAAAATGTGAGATTCCACCTCACCTCTGAATGAATCTCCATCAAGAGCAGCTTCTGTCTGTTCAGAGGTTGCTTCTAGATACTGGACTTCACTGTGGGGTTGTGTTCCTTCATCCTCCTGGATACATGGAAGTCAAGGCATTAGTGAGATGAACTCTTAAGATGAGAGGATGCTGATGCAAAGATTACCCCTGGCAACCACAGTGTCTCCAGCAGGTTCTACTCACCTGGTTCCTGACCAGCTCCTCATCTTCCCTGATCGTTTCTTCTGTGCTGTCTGGAGATACGCCACTGGATTCAAAGACAGTAGCATAGAAATTTATGAGTGCCTCAACGATGCATGCCTGGTGGGGGTAATCCACCAAAGAAGAGAGGGAGATGGTAGCTTGGGTGGGTCGAGGCCGCATTAACGTGGGGCCAAAGACGATTCCCAGGTTGCTGGAAGACATTTTATTGTCATCTTCAAGTTCTATAATCCTAGAATAGAATTGGACAAAGAGAAGAATGCAGACAATTTCATGAACTGGGTATGGCTAGTCTAGAGCAGTGTTTTTCAACCTTGGCAACTTGAAGATGTCCGGACTTCAACTCCCAGAATTCCC